GCAGCGCAGAGCAGATCGACAACGACACCGCCTACCCGCTCGTGGAGGTGAGTGGCGGCCGAAGAAAGCCGCGCACAGCCAACACGTAGCTCGGGACGTGGGCTGAGGAGTTTTGTGTGGGTAGGTGGTCCCTAAGTGGAACTGATTTATGGACAGAAACGGCCCTGTCCAGTGCTTCAAGAGGCTTAGCTGCAACCCTGGGGCGCAGAGGAGGGCAAAAGAGCGTCCCAGTGGTAGGCTGGGAAATCAGGAAGGAAAAAAAGAACTTTTTCAGCAGCCAGCAGGGTGCTGAGGATAGGGTTACATTTAATTGTTTTAGGTGGATGTTTGTATGAAAGATGAACCTCTCTGGGCAGGCCCTAGAGATGGTAGCTGGACAGAAACTGCAGTGGCAAGTGATGTGAGGAGAAGGGGGACAAACAAGACTCCTGATGTTTTTAGGGACATTTTTACTGTTGGGTGAGAAACTTTTGAGGAGCTAGGGAACCTCAGCCTGTTTTAGACTAGCAAAATGAGAGGGGGTATGTTTGTTGCCTTTTAACACATCACCGTGGTAAACAGGTAGGGTGAGAAAGGAACCAGTTAAGCAAAACAACCCCAACGCCCCAAAAAGCCCAATTTTTTTAGAAGAAGAAACAGGGATAAAATGGCTGGTGATATTTTTAAGATGGAAGTTCCTCATCATGAGAACAAGCAGGGTCTGAAACAGTAGTTTGTTAGATTAATAGGGGTTTTAAAAAATTTTATTTAAACCTTAAGAAATCCAAACATGCTTTGTTGCTACCGTGCTTCTCTGAAAAAGGAAGAAGTGAAAGTGAGGCCCTCTTTCAGCTGGCTTTCCAAGAGAAAATTATTCTAAGCTAGAGACCATATTTTGGCCATCCTAGAGATCTTTTCCAACCTTAATGATTCTATGATTCTATTCTATAGTTGTCTCTCTGGGTTCTATAAGATTTTTCTGCCCTATGGCAAAAATATTCTGGTCTTCTAAGCGCTGTCAACTGCCCTTCCACTTTTCAACAGCTGCATTTGTTCAAGTTTTCCATTTTTGAGAGAAAACCATCAATTTATATGCTAGCAGAATGCATTTTATTATTATTATTATTATTATTGGGGCTGACCTGCTGGAGAGCAGCTCTGCGGAGAGCGACCTGGGTGTCCTGGGGGACAACAGGGTGACCATGAGCCAGCAGCGTGCCCTGGGTGCCAAGAAGGCCAATGGGATCCTGGGGTGCATCCAGAGGAGTGTGGCCAGCAGGTCGAGGGAGGTTCTCCTCCCCCTCTGCTCTGCCCTAGTGAGGCCCCATCTGCAGTGCTGTGTCCA